AACTCGTTGAGTTTATTATGAAAAATTGTATTTTATGTTGAAAAATCAATTACAAGAGACACGCGTCAAGTTATACAGCTAATAATCGAAATTATACACGAAACTTATAGTACGAGTTGAATTATATAAACGATTTGATTCCCTTATTAATAAATTTTGTTTTTTCTCACTGCGTAATAAAACCATTGTAAAAAATAATTAATGTACGAGCATGAATTATAATTATTTATGAGTCTGGCAGTCACAGAGGATGCTGTCTGTCTGTGTATTTAATCTAGTATGATTTAATATCATTGAGCTTGATACTTTGATATATAAATATAAATCATTGCATAAAACTGTTTTATGAACACTTAACGGGATCTCTAGTACCCCGATCCATTTCAATATCATACATTATCCATGATTCTCGTTCGCTTTAACTTGATCAGCCCTAAACAAGTTCAATAGTGAGGCATTACCCGTCAAAATCACTCAAGATCGTCTTGAAAAAAAAAGATTATCATGTGTTTTAGTCACTAATTGTTAATTTTGTCGAGTCAGATCTGAAAATATTGTAAAGCGATTTTTTTAGCACAACATCGCGATAAGAGCCCAAAATTTATATTACGCATCAATATTCATTTTCTTTTCAAGGTCACGAAGACAATAAAGTCTCATGCAGTGCGAGAAACTGAAACTGTGACATTAATGGCGTGCAATATACTTCATCAACATTAGCGTCATTGTTGCATTTCAGGATTGCGCGTTGAACGCGAGGTGTTGCGATTTTAGCCCGAAATCATATTGTTGTGATATAACTAGCGCTTTCAATTTCAGTCCTTTTATCGGGTCATTGTAAACACCCATTTAATGAGTACTTGAAAGTCAATTTATCGGCCTACATCGGTGATAATTAATGAATTGAATCGACCAGCGAGAACATAATCAATGAATAATTTCGTTCTTTCGAATAGCTCATTTTAAAATAATATGAAAATAGCGAACGAAAGGAAAAAGGCGTGAAAATGTGCGTTGCAAAAATCGATAGTCACCGGCTATAACGTAGCCATTGAAATTTTCTCGCGGCTCAGCTGCATTTTGTTAAACTTGGTAAAAGTTTCGAATGGGTCGTGCGCGCTTCGGCAACATCGATGGTTTTTGATTCACAACACTCGAAGGGATCGCACCGAACGCGTACGTACCTGCGGTGTATACATAAAGGCAGGCGGTTCGAAAAAAATTTTCCAAATAGCAGCTCGCGATTAAAACGAAACATCCTTGATGAGTCATGGCGCACGCGTCGCAAGGGGGATCGAGGCGGTAGAGAAACTTTAAGTGAAATTCCTCGCGGTAATGCATGTGTACGGCGTGCGCGAAAAGAGATATCGCTACCGCGTATACGTTATACATTATATCATGTGTAAATCGTCGACAAATTTCCATGCGTGACATAATTATTCGAATACATCACGGCCGGGATAATACAGGTCTCATCGATGCGCCGTACATTTTATACGGTGCGGCACTCGAGTTAGTGCAGTCGCGAAAAAATTCCACCGAGCAGCGAGCAGCGATACGCGCTGATTACATTGAATAACTTGCAAATATGTCTACACGGGCGAGCTGCGGCTTATTTATTATTTGAGGTACAAGCGCGTCGGTCCGAGATTATACACTTACGCGAGTTATAGCGAGCAGTGCTCCACGATGCGACTGAAAATCGAAATTTCGTTATATTAATAAAGCTCGCGATTACTTAGGTTGCGCCAAAGAAAAGCAAAAGAAAAGCACACATACGCGCAAAGGAGTTTCGGCGAAGCGTCGATACGCTCCACTATTAATAACGCGAGCGTAATCATCAATCGCGGAGCGAAGGAGAGAAGAAAAGTGCAGCCGTCCTATATGGGATACAGTCGCGCAGAGCTGGACTCGGGTATCGCCACCGTATCTGGGACGTGTATAAATATATGGAGTACCTATATATACGTATAGATACAGGCACGGCACCGAGCTGCAGTAACAACGTTGTAATTTGCCGCGCGCTCGACTCATTGGCGGTGCAGCGCTGCTGCGACTTTATACCCCCGAACGTGATTCGAGCGAGAGCTGCTCGTGGCAGCTTACACGTCTATATACTCCACGGCCTCGGCTGACATTGAAATTCGTGTTCTTTTTTCCGGCCTCTATGGATGTGTAGGAACAAGTGCGGCGCAATCTGCAGCTATGTACGCATTATGCCGCGCCGCGACGGTACTCGTTATATACTGTTTACGCATTCGCTCGTTCGTCCGCCTTATCCGCGCGATTCACGAGCTCGCCCTTTCTCGCTGCCATTAGGCCGGTTTATTGCGCGCGCGCGCGCGCGAATAGAGTGTGTGCCGATCGTCGAGCCATAAATGCAGCGGCTCCTACTTGGCGATCCTTTCGATCGGCTTTTATTCTGCGCAGAGCTACATCCTGAACAGGCCTGACCGCAGACGACTCGACACGCGCTCGCCTTCTCTCTCTCTCTCTCTCTCTCTGTCGCTGCACCAACGCCAACAAAGATACGATATCGCCTCGACGAAACGACCGCTCGACCGATACGATCTGGCGCACTCGTTCGACGCGCTCCTTTTGCTTTCTCGCGCGGCAGCTCGCATAGCGCCGTGCTCTGATTCCCTTTTCGTGTCGCGGCTCACTGCCGCCTCGCGATCATCGGGATCGCAGCCGATCGATGCCGATCATCGACTTGTGGCTATGGAACTGCGTATAACAGTCGCTGGGTTGGTACGTTGAAGCACGAGTAGGAAATTGACTACGAGCAAATTTTCATATAATTTCAACTGTAACACCTCGACTCTTACAGCTAAATAAATTAGTTCATACCCCCTGTTGTATACTTTTTAGAGTCCAAGCGTCGGCATGATCCAGACTCTGACACGAGCTCGTTTGGCCGGATCGAGAAAAATGCGCCTGAAATATCTGGACTCGAGCGTGAAATGTATCGTTATTAAAATGTCCACTCGCGGCTTTACGCAATCGGTTACGAGTACGAAGTCAGAACGATCTGTGTCACAAGTATCAGAAGCTACACGGCTATTTTAACAGCATTAGTTCGACGCACAAAAAGCCTTTTCATCTAGTAAACCCGCTGAAATAACTTTCAAAGCAGAGGTGATTCTCGATTCTCAATGTAAAAATTATAAGTTATAAATTTTCCGTTAACGCTCCATACCATCGGTTTGTTTTATGTAATTTACGTCATTAATTATGAAGATAAAGGGGTAGACGCCTCGAATGGTGATTATGGCACTGGCCTCAGCACCGTATGATTTCTGGTGGACCACGCGTTGTTACATATCTCGGAGGACGCGTGTGTGTGGGGCGACGCGAGCTGCTGTACGCGTCTGACCTCGACTTGGAAATGTATCCTCGTGATTATCAAGCACACGACACTGACCTTATACTCACTTTTTCGTACATAATATGTATGCGTATATAGGTGTGTAGTTCTTTGGCTTGCTCGACAATTAAACAGCTCGCAAACGACGAGCAAGTTTACGAATGTGTTGACGTTCGCTGTCGACCGATTGCCGAATGCATTCCAACGAGTGATCTCATTTTTTTTATTTTTTTTTTTTTCATCAAATTTGATGCCTTTTGTGTAGCAACGCAAATCCTTGAATTTGCTGATAACCATCTAAATTTCGGTTGAACTTTTTTAATTCATTTTCGCGCTGTATTTCTCGTTGTACAATCATGGTATTTCCATTATTCGCTAACTGCTTCATAAAATACGTATATAAGCTACGTATTTATATAATATACAAAGAAGCTGTTTGATTTAATTAATTATTTCATCGAATTTGACTTTGATACATTTTTTATAGTTTTTAAAATTTTTGAAAAATAATTGGTTTAAATAAAAGAAATCCGTATTTACAAATAGCAGGCGGTGAGAGCTCTGGATTCGGATTGCGTAATTGAAAAATAATTTTTGCTGCCGATCACGCATTACAAAATTTTACTCGTTAATACTATAGCTTCCGAGTTACGATTATTGTATCAGACTTTTTAATCTTCGTTTTCAGTTCATGTCAAAAACGTTGTAGTTACTGTATTATAAAAATTTTCAACATTCAGCGTTTTACGTATGTATTTTATTTAGTACGTTTGCTAACTTAAAGTCGCGGTACGGGCGGTAATCATTTCATTGGCTAATATAAAGCTCGATGCAAAAAAATTACATGAGTTGGAAAAGCGTACTGACGCAGTATTTATGCACTACGAATGATGAACTTTTGAACGTGTAAAAAAGGAATCCGCAAAAGAATGCATGACTATATCAAAATACATAGCAGATCGTTCAGGTCTTGGACGTGCGTAAATGTTACATTATAGTGGCGCAATGAAATGAAAAGGCATATTCGTATACAGGACCTTCATTCATACAAAGAGCCAATAACGACGCCAATAAGTAATGTCAAAATAATTGATAGATTTCTTAGTAAACAATTTTTGTTCTGTATTTGCTGAATATGATCGATCATTAATCGTTGGCTTTTGTCGATTAAATCGTCATTACATGCCTTCGAGCCCATGCGTATGTTTCAATTTTTGTTTTTTTTCGCGTTATCTACGGGTATCACCTTGTCTTCATTACGAAACGCTCGGTACGCAGGTTTTTATTTTTTTTTTATAACAGGTGCTTCGTTCGTTCATATGAATTAATTTTATTATTACTTTTATGAAGATGTAAAACTATAACAAGAAACTTTAAACCCGCGGGTAAACTGCTTTTTACAAGTTCTCAAAGTAAAGATCTTGATATAAATTGCTGATCGATGATAGCACCATATTTTTCATTAATTTTGATGGATCTTTAATCGAATGCCTTCGACAATGAAAAATTGAAAAGAAATGAAAAGCTTCGAACGAGTGAATTAATATTAAAGAAAAATAAACTTACTTTAAGAATAAATAATTAAATTATTCGCATTTCATTGAGAGTAATTGTAGTAAAATATTGTTTACAGGTTGTGCTACAAATAACTCTACTATGGGGAAATGGTTCAGCCTTGCCCATTCCAATCCCTGCGAAGAAAAATGACATCCTGGCGGGCACGGACTTTTTGTCGGTCTTCATCAACGGTGCCATGGCTCCCAGGCCGACGCGACGACGTCTGAGTCTTCGCCGCGGACACTCGGCAATGCCCGACAACGTCGCGGCCGAGTCGAAGAGCGACGAGGCCAACATCTTCCGCATCTCGCGGGCGCCGATCACCATCAAGCCCACTCCCCCGAAGCCGAGGACGACGTCGAGCCGCGACGATAGTATCCGATACTATCCGATCAGTCACAAAGTCGACCTGGACAACGCCCATCACAGTTTCGAGACGATCGTCGATGACCTCGGTAGACCCGGTGATATATCTACCAAGATCATATCGAAATCGAGAGATAATTATCCGGTCGCGAGGAAGCAGCCTAGTTATAATAAAACGTCAAATAAGTTAGTTAAGCCCGTGAACCAAAAAATAATAGGTGTAAGCGTGACGTCGTCGGTCGATGCCACACCCCACAGAATCAAAATCGAGTATCGCAACCCGGCGGAGATGTCGTCGATGTCGAGGCCCACCGCGGCAACGAAATCGTCCCCGAGCCTGACAACGATATACTCGACCTCGAGTCAAGTCTCCGTGTCGTCCGCGGCTCCGGCCACAACGAGAACGACGGAGAAAACGAGCTCGACGAGCGTCACCACCGCGAGGCCCGCCAACGCCCTGGTGACGGAGGAGCTCGACCACATCGTCTCCGAGTCCAACCGAAGCGAGTTCAGCGTCGACGAGAAGGGCTCGCAAACGAGCAGCCACGAGAGCAACTTGGTGACCCCGGTGCCAGGGCCGGCTTCCAAGGGCAAGGCCAGCTCGGCGGAGCCTGGGCCCGAATCTCACGAGGACAGCCGGGACTCGGCCACCAGCCATTCCGAGCAGATCGAGCACAGGTACGAGTACGAGCTGTCCAATGGCGCCGAGACGAAGCCGGGTGGCGAGGCCTCGTCGGACGCCAATCGGCTGCCTCTGCTGAGGAGCCAAGGCCGCAAGGTCGGCAGACACTACGAGGACTCGTCGTACAATCAGCCCTCGGAGATCTACAACGTTCGGCAGAACGGAAAGTCGTACGACCCTCAGCATCCGAAGATCTACGGGGAGCCGTCCAAGGTCTACAGCGAGCCAGCCAAGGTGTACTCGGAGCCGGCCAAGGTCTACGGGGAGCCATCGAAAGTTTACGGCGAGCCGTCCAAGGTCTACTCGAAGCCCGAGAAGGTCTACTCGGAGCCAGCTCGGGTCTACTCGGAGCCGGCCAAGGTCTACTCGAAGCCGGCCAAGGTGTACGGCGAGCCGGCGAAAGTCTACGACTTCAACGGGCAGCCGGTGGGCGGCCACGAGATGGGCAGCGGAGGCGAGCCCGAGGAGAAGAACTACGAGGTCGACGAGGCCGTGAGCGTCGGCAGCAACGGCAACATCCACGGACTGCAGCCGTTCACCGAGGCGAGCAACATCGAGGAGGACGGCCACAAGGTCGGCTACGTCGTCGAGGGCCGCAACTATCGCAAGTACCGGGTGGAGGAGCGTACGGCCGACGGCTTCATCGTCGGCGAGTACGGCGTCGTCAGCCACGACGACGGCTCGCTCCGGGGCGTCAGGTACACGGCCGACGGCACCATAAACCCTCGGCTCATCTACGACGCTCTCATGAAGTTCCTCGCGCTCTGATCGAGCCCTGTACATGGACGTCCTTGCGGACTCTTCCTTACTGCCGATCGAGCGTCGTTACGTGCACTCATCCTGTTGTAAAAATAGCGAAAATTGTTCTTCTCTCACGTATATGGAACGTGCGCCAGCTGCCTGTGCCAACGCTAAAGTCTTTGCAGAAAGAGCATGGCTTGTGATAAAGGGAAAATTGAGGTCGAATCGCGCGAACGTGTACGTCGTGCAAAACATACGTAATGCCAAATACTCGATCCTTCTTAGATCGAATAATGTACTATGTTGTTATTTATTCTAATGTACCATAGCCAATTGTCATGTCTGTTGCGCTTACGATTACGAATGATATACTTTCTATGAAGACTTACGTTGGCGATTCGCATACACTGTAACGGGTTTTCAAGTTTGTCTTGTGTGCCTGCCTGGGTGGATGTATTTTTTAATGCACATTTGTCCGTGTGCTCGTGTGTATTTGATATGCTAACGTTCATTATACTCAATTTCATTGCCATCGTGTCTTGATGACCGAACGACTGATTTTATTATTCTTTAATCTCATTTTGTTCATTTTTTTATTGCTTTACTACTTTTAAGAATGTGCATATCCCACGAACATTGTTGTAGGAACTCGAAAGTATCTTGATTTATCGAGCAATGTCAAACATCTTGATTCAAGATTACTTACGTATTCATTCACCTAATTGCAGTATTAATTTGATATTACTACTTCAACGGCACAGTTTTTATTTCAAAACGAAAATTTTTAATCCTACATTATTTGGATTTACAAAAAAAAAAAACATATTCCTACATTACCAATCTTAGACAATTTTTTGGTTCTGCTGAAATGCTGGGTTATTTGTCATTTTAGTTGAATCTCCAAGTCATGATAAATTTAACAACTTTCTATTCCATCATTACGTATACTATATTTTTATGAATTATAAATGCTATGATTTTGTGTTATAATTGTCATAACTACAATATGATTACATGTTTTAATATGCGAAAAATGTTTGAGACACATACACGATGGTGTGTTGTAGTGTTATTTTAAAGCATTAAGAATGAAACATGAACTTGCTATTGCGACGCAAACTATTAATATCCCATTATGTTGCAATTTAAATAAAATTTTTGCATGCACGCAGAAAAAATTAATTTCAAATTATAATCAATAATTATTTTTTGTTAATTAATTATAGTAAATAAACTTCATTTTTCTGCGTACATACATCATTGAATTAATTCGTTGCAGTAGTGATTCTTATCATGTTTCAATATTGAATTATTTATAAAGTTTTAAATTTTCTCAAAAACAGTTTCAATTTCATTTTATCAAATAATGCTTAGATTTTTAAGTAGGAAAAATATTATTAATTATCAGTTATTTTATTGATAAAAATGCTTTTCTCGTTTCAGGCTTTCATTGAAACTCATTTTTGGATTATCTCTAAATTAAACATGTAAATAAAACTTATTTGTATTTTAAGCCATAAAAACTTCGATGAAATATGAATGAAAAAATTCAAACGTTTATGTTTAATTAATCAAAGTGAAAATTATTTCTTGGCTTATGCGTAAACAAAAGTTATGATTATTCAAATGTATCATTTTATGTACTATTATTTAATATAAAAATTCAAAATAATGCTTTGTTTGTGTTACTTATTTACGTATTTTATCCTTATTTTTCATTAAATAATTGAAAATGAAGTTATTATTCAATAACTATTTAACTCATTCGGCCCTTAATGAAAGTTCGTAGTTTTTGAAAGTAAATATTGTTTCAAGGCGGTTTTTATTCTTAATAATATCTTTTCAATTCACAATTGAATTGAGATATTTATCTTATATAAACCTTTCTTCTATTCTTACTAGGATGTTTGAGGTGTTGCCAGCGTACAGGCTTATAAAAGTTTTTTAATAATTTATTGGAAAATATCCTATCATAAAGTGGCAGGTCCCAACATGATTTTATAAATCGTCAACCAATTGAAAAGGCGAGTCATGACTTTTTTCTCTCAATATTGACATGGGTTACCAAGATGGAATTTTAGCTGTAGTTACTGTGTACCCACATACCTCCGAGCGTGCCACGAGATGGCCACAGCTGACAGTCAGTGTTTGTATAAGCAGACCCTCAGGACTCAGGTATAAGTTTATACATTGTACATTAACTATTAATGCGGTTCAAAATAATCCAAGGGTTTCAAAACTTCGTTTTATCAATTTTAATGACTTCAATTTCACAAAATAAGAAACATGAAGCAATTTTTAGAGGTTGCTCAACGAGTCTTTTGATTTTCCATTTAAATAACATTAGGATAAGTAATTTTTTCTCTTTAATCTTCTGTAGCTCTGATTGGTCGAATTTATTTGGACAAAACGGTCATAAAGTGTAATTTACAGAAAAAATAGCAACTTCCTAAAATTAAAACTGAAAAATTGACATCTAAAAATTACTGTTTTAGTTAAAAAAAAACGCGAAGTTTTTTATTATTAAAATAATTATTCACGATTTTAACTACGTTTAAACGCATTTTAAACATTGCCATGGGAAATGAGAGCTTCCTTGTTTTTCGGAATATGTGAGATTTTTTCAAACGTTAATTGCACAAGCTGTACAGTTTTGAAAAAATGATACTTGAGTCATTTTGTGTCAAAAAGAAGTTAATATAGGAAACGTGGTATGCATGTGAAGCATACATGATGAATAAGAAAGGGTTCATTTAATCAATAAACTATTGGAATTTTAATTTTTTCAGTATCAATGTTTATAGATTCGATTAGATGTGTTTATCAGTATTTAAAATTGTACATGAAAATTGTTTTGCGTATTGAAAAACGGTGAATAAATATTCTACTATCTTAAATAAGTAGTACCAACATCGAATGATATCAAATGTGAAAGAGAAAAAAAACGATTAATGAGTGACTAGTTTTCTTTATAGATGGTCGAATTTCTTTCGAGTTTACATTTTTTCTAATCATTATTAACTCTTCTAAGACGGGGTAAAAAGAAAATATGCAGTTGAATTAGGCTTTTTAAAATTAGAGGTAACTAAATATGTAAATTGCTGTAATTCAAATTGAGTTAATTTAGTAAAAATTATATTTGAATAATTTTACTCTAGTTATTCAAGTTTTCTTCATTACATCTCGTCTGATTGCCTCGAAAAGAAAATTAGAAGACAGCGTTTTTCTCATTGGTGCAGAATCTTCGATGCGATTAATGGAATTTATGTTTGATGAAAAAATTGTCAGGTCGAAAAAGGGCAAGATAATGGTATTGGTTAGTTACATACACTTGGCCGTTTCCCAGTCAATATTAGTATGCGTGTGCGTCCCCGCAGCACAGGAATACACTCGGAGCCGGCTCGTGTCGAAGCACTTTCCGGAGACAAAGGGTTTAAAATCAATCAGCGGGTTCTCACGATGTCGCGCGCGCGACACGCCGAAAGCTCCGCCAGTCTAGGAGCAACCCGACGTGCTCGGGCCGGTAACGCAGGGATAACGCTTTGCCGACTCGAAGCCGTTCTCCTGTCGATGTCAGTCTCACTCTGTGTGTGTGTGCAAACACGGCCACGCGCTTGCTCCAGCTCCGCCAGCGGTATATGGCCATAAAGCAGCGTAGTTGGCCGCCCACTTGAAAAGAGCTCTCGGCTGCCTCCTCGCCGTGCAAATAATTGAAACCCCATAAGCCGCGCGACACTGCGCGTCAGCCCGGAATCGCGTGTCCGCATGATGTTCATTGGCTCTGCCTGCTACTGCCGCTGCATACGTACATACGCGCGCTCGCGTATAAATATGAGTGTGTTAAGCCTCCCTCGAGGGCCACACGTGACTTTGCATGCTGAGATTTTTCAGCCCGAACGCGTTTACGTTCTTGGCTGCTATTTGTAATATAATGCACGCGTACAGTCGTCGCACGCGCACTAGACGCTGGATAAATAAGCGCACGTTGCAAAAGTGTCTGGCCGCTTTAAAATCAACGCGGATACATGTGTAGAAAGATGAGCTTTCGGCGATTCAAGAAAATAAAGGGGATAAGCGCGTGCGTGACATCGAGGGATGCGCTTGATAATCGTTTGCAATATATGCTATTATTCTTTTGTCAAGCTTATACGATTGCTCCGATCTGGCTACGGCAACTTGATCTAACTGTCACGTTTTTTCTTGCGTCGGTGGGATCCCTTGCGTAAAATTTATCAATTTTTTCGTGACTCGGTTACTTTTTCGATATAACAGCGCAATTGAGTTCATTAATACCAATATTTCAAAGCCAAACTAATGTGAAAATAACATCGAAAGGTGAGTGATACAGTATATTAAGAGGTAGTGCGCAATAAAAATTGTTACTTTAAAACTAATTGAATTGAAAATATAATACCAGTGGAACTTCTCGGGGACATTATAGAAAATTTTGATGAAAATATTAATGTTTGTTGGACTCAAAAGTAAGTAACTAAAAACTCTGAAACGAAGAAGTGAATGATCAGTGTTAAGGGACATTTGGATGCATAGTAGTTCGTAGCATTTTCTTTCCATGTCTTTATCGAGTACAATGCGAGAGAGAAGTTAACGGTTTACCGTGCAACAACTATAAACACTCGCATAATATATATTTTGTATTAAAGAAAAACCGTAATTTTTGCTTTCATGTGTTTATCACACTTACAAAGGTATGTTTTGAAGCCCGTCGATGGTTCTCATTTCATGTGGTTTCAATAGCTATAGAGTTGCAATTGAAACTGCTATACAACGCAATGTCTTGTCTAATATTGCATTTTTACAATTTTGAAACATTTATGTGGTGGTTACTGCTTGTGCTGCTTAAAAATTTTGGCGATTTATTGTAAAATCGGGCAAGAAATAATAAGTTGTGACTTGTGATTAGAATTTTTTTTAAAATAAATAAAACTACTTGAATAGGCGAGTGAAAACCAAGTCAAAGGGTGTGATATAAAGATAACGCAGATTGTATACGTTTACCGCGACATCCATTGAGAACGGAGGTAAGGCAAAATTCATGTGGATAATGTAGATTACAAAAAATTAATAAATCTAATACAAATAACAAAATTGTTTCTTATGGAAACCTCACCTCTCAAAAGTGAGCACTTCTAGATAATGATCAATCTCTTTGTGATTTCGCTATCGGAAAGGGTGGAGAAATTTTTTTTCATCATGATTTAAATA